TTCTTTTACATTACTAATAGAACAATTAATAAAAAATAAAAAATAAAAAACACAACCTTAAAAGTATTTTTTTAGCCCAATTAACACAGACTGTTCATTTTGGTGAGATGCTTAGATCTAGGTCTTAGAAGGATTTTTTCTTTTCCAATTTTTTTGGATGACTTTATTATCATTAGATGAAAAATATTAGAAAAGAAAAAAATGATTTTAATTTTATAAAGGCTATTAATATATTGAAATTCACAAAATAAATGGTCTAGATTCATTTTTGGAAAAGACTCATTTTAACCATATCTAAAGTTCAAATTGAAATTTTTTTTTTAGTGATTGAATATTGAGATGAAGAGAATATGCGTACAAAATTTGAGATCATACAAATACCACAAACATTATTTTTTAAAAGGGTCGTTTTATTATACTTTAATACAACCGTTATATTAGATAATTCTCCCCATTTTAATATCTAACCGGGTGTCTATCTTCCTCGTCAGCAGGTGCACAAATAACAAGTATTCCTCCACGTCAAATATTCACACGAGCAAAATGGAGGACGCTTTAGCAAAGCGTTGCAGTGACTGCCACGTGGAGTGATAACCGCGTACGTCTGTGCCTTGTCGTAAAACAAATACACGCGTATATAGGACCGTAAAATACATAAAAAGTGGAACTACGCTAGGATTGGCAATGGGCGGGGCGTCTCGTCCCGGACCTTCAACAGTATGGTATGGGCCGCGGTTGTGGATGAGTCTATTAGGACGTGTTGGCCCGACCTTTTTTATTGCCTTTTATTATTTATTTATTTATTTTCGACCTGGCGGCTTCTCAACTGAAACCGGCAAAATTGAACCCTTCAAACCCGGGAAAATGATTTGAAAATGTCTGACCTACCTTTTTTGGAAATGGCATCAGCACCCAGACCATTTAAAACTTTTCCAAACGAACCCTTATTTTAGAAAAGGCAAAAATTTATATGAAGATGAGACTCCAAGGCACGCATCAAAAAATTCATTAGAAGATGTTGTGATGCTCCAAAATTTTCAAATAGATCATCTCAACCTCAAGACGTATGGACATGAGAAAAATGAATTTCAAGATTTTAAAATAGTGCACTTCTAATGCTTTTATCGGATTATTAATTTTTTAGATTTTCAAGTGTTTATGGATCTATTCAATCTACACTATTTTTTAAGCTTTAAATTTCATAATTAAAGATGAAAATAAAACTTTAAGCAATCATAAAGATTTTTAGTAATAAGAATCACATTTTCAACATTATTTGTAGTCGCGTCTTACTTTGATTGTTTAGGACCTAGGCCCTATACAAACTACACCATTTAAAAAATGTCTACATATGAAATTTGAAATGATTAGCTGAAATTATGACAAATTATTTTCTCTATTAACATTTTTTGTGGTAGTATCTATTGGTCACGTTCGTTTTCAAAATTTAAATGGTCTCTCTTCTTTTTCGTCCATAAGAGAATATGCATCCCTCGGGTTTCATGGAAAACCTTTCTTTCTCATACATTTTATTTTTATTTTTTTAATTTTTGTTTTTTACATTACTAGCATTTCATTTTTATTTTTTTATTTTTGTTTTTTACATTACTAGCATTTCATTTTTATTTTTTTATTTTTATTTTTTACATTACTAGCATTTCATTTTTATTTTTTTATTTTTGTTTTTTTACATTACTAGCATTTCATTTTTATTTTTTTATTTTTGTTTTTTTACATTACTAGCATTTCATTTTTATTATTTTATTTTTATTTTTTACATTACTAGCATTTCATTTTTTTTTTATTTTTTATTTTTACATTACTAGCATTTCATTTTTATTTTTTTATTTTTGTTTTTTACATTACTAGCATTTTATATCATTTCTTTTACTTCCAAAGCTCACTATCCTATTGTCTGCCGCCTTCAATTCTTGGAGTATCCATAATTTTAGCTAGCTTACATATAACTTATATTTTTGGATGTCATTAAGAATTTTTACAAGAAAAATATTTGACCATATACATCATCGTCATCATCATGGTGTTAATGTTTTTCACAATTATTTTAGATCGGGTAAACTTAATTGTATACAATTGCCTCTAATTGATGAGGACATACTGTCATTTTGATAAATGTGTAGGGCATATATATATATATGCGTGTACATTTGCAACAAAAACTGCATCGTGTACGAGTAATATCCAGGCGCTTTCCTCTTTTTCCTCTATTAAAAAACGTTTTCATGTCTCCACCATTTCTTCCAAACTCTATTTTCTTTTCGTCTCTCTACGTTTCAATTTGCAAGCAATCGGATCTTGATATTCATGTTATCGTTATCTACAAGTTTACACAAATCTATTGTATCAATTCCTTTTCCTCACTAGGTTTTGCAGCGATTCTTCTATTTTTCTTATTGAATCTCTCTGTGTAACTGTAAAGAAACCCCATTTCTCTGATCCCTTTGTTCTGTAAGTTTGAAACAAACGCACCATTAGTATCATTTTCTCTCTCTAGCCTTTCCAGTTTTTCCAGGTTGTCTTTTGCTTTTCTCCTCCGATTCCTCTGCAGATATATATAGAACCTCATTTGTTTTACGTTCTTCTTTCGGAATTGTTCATTTACTGTAAATTTGAAATAAGCTCGTCAATTTTCTACCATTGGTCTCTCTAAATTATCAAGATTTTCATTTGCTTTTGTTTTCTGAAGTCTCTGTATCTCTGGTTTTTGAGGAGAACAGGGCACTGTATATACATTTATAGATAGAGAGTGTATAGGGATTATTAATTTGGATTTGGGTTTCTTCTTCTCGTGATATGAATACGAGCAGTTCGATGGGTTTATTGACTGCGAAACCCTGTTGTAGGATGTTGATTAGGTGTAATTCTGTTCTAACGGGATTCTCATCAAAAGCTGTTCCCAAATCGATTGGAAACTGCAAATTTCACAGTAAAACGATGTCATATTCACCTGAAAAGAGGATATTTGGTGGCCATCACTGGTTCTTCCCTTCAAGTCGAAGGCCATATCATTTAACTGAAGGTCTCTCTCAGGGAGCTAAGGTTTCTTTCTATCACTCCAATTTTTCTCCAAAAAGGCGCTTTTTCATATCAGAAATTCGATGTAACTCCACCACTGCTGAGCAGCATACAGGCAATCAGGGTTTCGAAAGCATCTATGTTCAGGGAATTGGTGTTAAGCCCCTGGTTATTGAGAAAATCGAGGAACAAAACCCTGGAGTTAGTGGTAAATCAGATAGTTGTGTTCAAGAGTCTGATGATTTGAGGGATTCTGAAGAAATTAGGTCTTTCAATAGTTCCGAAAGTAGTGAAGAAACAGGAGCTTCTGGTGATCATGTAAGATTCGAAGAGATTAGGGCACCTGAAGTTTCAGGAGGCGTTGAAGAAAATAGGGTTTCTATAGAGAGGGAGGAGTCAGCGATTGAGAAGGAGGCTTGGAGGTTGTTGAATGCTGCGGTTGTGAATTATTGTGGGAGTCCTATTGGATCAGTGGCAGCTAATAATCCAGCTGATAATTCACCACTGAATTATGATCAAGTCTTTATTAGGGATTTTGTGCCTTCAGCTTTGGCATATTTGCTCAAAGGGGATAGGGAGATTGTTAGGAATTTTCTTCTCCACACATTGCAGTTGCAGGTGAAATTTTACTCTCCCCATTATTGCGTTTTTAAATTTTATATTATTTTGATATGGATCTATGCTACTTAACATATGGCTGCTAGTCATAGGAGGTGAATATTGGTGGTTTTACAGAAATATTCCGACGGCTTTATTATTTTTCTTTGTTTCTTATTAGTTCTTTCTGGAGTTACAATTCTGCTTTGGAATTGTTCTGACCATATCCTTGTTGTAGTAGTGGAAAATGGTGTTCTTAACATACTTTCTGCAATTTCGTGCCCTTTTGCGATAGATTTATCAAACAGATCACTGCAATTAGCTACTCAATAGTGCTTTATACTAATGGAGTTTGTGTCATTCATAGATCACTCTCTCTCTTGCTGTGTGTGTGTGTGCGTGTGTGTGCATGTGTGCGTGTGTGTGTTTGTGCGTGTGTGTGTGAGTGTGTGCGGGTACTCGTGCATTTTTGTTCATGTGTGTTTGCACTATATTGGTACGAATTCACATATTCTAACTTCTACATTTTTCGTTTAGTAATAAAACATGGTGTCGAGATGGACTTTCTTTCTCTTTTAGTTGAATCTGAAGCTTGCATCTATGTTGATATGAATTTGTGATAGCGAATGTTTCTATGCATGATATGTTCATATGCATGATATAGTAGCCGACCCCAATTAATAGGGAAAAGGCTATGATGATGACGACGATATAGTAGTTGAAGACCTTATCTTATTTTATTATTTTTGTTTTGTTTTTCTTGTGATTTTTTCCTCAAATCTATGTTACTGAAGTTGTGTACTGTGTAGATATTACCGTGCTCTACTTTCAATTGAATTTCTGTCATACTATTGGAGGTGGTGAGTTTGCAAAAACTTTCAGGTTTCTTTTTTCTCCTTTCTCCATTTTATTTTTAAAATGCAACTGTCCTTACACAAATTCATGCTAGTCAACATCAAAATGCTCTTTAGAGTTCATTGTGTTTATACCACAGTGAAACTTCTCCTGAAATATTACTTTTTCTATTTCTGCAAGTTGGAGCAGCTTAGAAAGAATTTTACCCAAAGCTTTTTATGGCAATGGAAAATGTTGTTCTCGTATACAATTCCCTGTGGGTTTTTTTTCTAATCGAAGTGTATATTCAGAGGATTGGTATTATCGATAGTTTCTAACAATTGTCTTGGAATGTGGAAACTTAGGAGTGATTCAACTTCAAAACTTGGACTAGTTACATGAAATCTCATAAATGACTCCTCAAGAGCCAGAAAACTACTGAAGCTGGAAGAACTAAAGAGATTTTACTGAGCAATACTTGCTTTAAAGCTTCCAATCCTAGCAGAATATTTCCATTCTGTAGTTTCTTCTCTACCTCAGAATCTGCAAAATGATACAGACAACTAGGTGTTGAGTATTATGGGGCTATTTTCTGGTTTCGCTTATTTGAGTCTTTGCAAATCCTGTCTGTACTTTTAAATTTGCCTTTTATGGATGTGGCTTGTCATGGTCATCCTTGCTGCTTAGCCTTGTCAGACTTTGTATTGGAATGTTTTTCTTTGTTTTCAATTTTCCATTAGAGCCTAAGCTAATTAATGTTTGATCATAAGACGGAATATTCATGCAATTGTGTTTTTGTTTAGAGCTGGGAGAAAACTGTGGACTGTTATAGCCCAGGGCAGGGGTTGATGCCGGCAAGTTTCAAAGTGAGAACTGTCCCTCTTGATGGGAGCCATGAAGCATTTGAAGAGATATTAGATCCAGATTTCGGCGAGTCTGCCATTGGTCGTGTTGCGCCTGTTGATTCTGGTTGGTAGCAGCGACATTTTTCTTCTTCTATGCATCTTGTCTTGTCAATGTCAAAGATATATATCTCTTAAAGGTTTATCTTTCCTCATGGGCAGGCCTTTGGTGGATCATCTTGTTGAGGGCTTATGGAAAGTTAACCGGTGACTATGCACTGCAAGAAAGGGTAGATGTTCAAACAGGTATCAAGTTGATCTTGAATTTATGCCTGGCAGATGGATTTGACATGTTCCCAACTCTGCTAGTGACAGATGGTTCATGCATGATAGATCGGAGGATGGGTATCCATGGACATCCTCTTGAGATTCAAGTAAGTTGGGGCCTACATTGCATTATATAGGTCATAATATGATTGCTCATTTGGCCATTTAAATCTGTGTATTTGCCATTTTTTAATCTGGACCTTATGTAACACCATAGGTTTTCTTTTTAGTTCTTTTTGCATTTTACGAATTTGAGTATTATAAGTTGCTCTGTGGTCATCAGTTGGTTGTGCATTTTACGAATTTGAGTAAAATAAAAAGAGGATGATTTTGAATACTAGAAATATTCTACATTTTAGGATGGATGCATCCTAGTCTCTGATTTGTTCACTAACATTCCAATATGTTGATTGAGTTGGAGAGGCATGCCTTAGAGCATGCTCTGTGCATGGAGACTGGTCATCATAGGGAAACTTTCCAATTCATTGGGTGTGCAATTGAATATTATGCATTTTAGATTCATGGGAACTTCAGTCTCTGTATTATGGGGTTTTAAATGCTAGAGATAGCAGTTGAAGGCTTTTATTCATGGTAGTAATTGTTGTTCATCCATAATATTCTGTGTATTAGTTGGTTAAATTGACCTGTTACGATTTATCTAGTTTGAACTCTTTTTTTCAGAATTAACTACTCACTAAACTGTCATTTAAGAGCTGTACATTATACATTAATTTGCCCCAAGTATTTGGAAGATAGAGACATTTGCACAGTCAATAACAAAATATGTAGGTCATTGTCCCGAAAGGAGAGAAGGTGTAATGTCTAGTACTTCACTTTAATGTTTTTATTTTCTTAGGGATTATTTATAGTTGTTGAAAGCTGTGGCCTGTAGGCTAAGGCACTTCTTAGAAGATGAAATCAAAGAGCAAAAATAAGTTTCCCAAATTCTTTTTTTGGTACAAAATGTGTGACATTGTCCCAAAGGAGAGAAGGCCTAATGTCTAGTTCTTAACTTATTATAAAGTTTTATTTTCTTTGGGATTATTTATAGTTGTTGAAGTCTATGAGCAGTAGGCTAAGGATCTTCCTAGAAGATAAGATCAAAGAGGCATTGTAAGTTCCCCAAATTATTTTTTCATTATATTCTTTAACATAAAGACACAAATTCGTAACAACCACTCTCATCAATATAAACTTTAACTCCTATGTTCGGCTTGGACATTTTTCTTATCTAGAGCTATTTTTGATGAGTTTGGAGCAATTTTGAAACCGTAATGTTTCTGTAAGAGCTGTCCTGAATTGTCGATTCCTAACCATTCAATGTGTTGCTGTATTTATGAGATTTTTCAGTTATGTTTCAAGGCTCCCGATATTTGTGTTCAGGTGTAGTGTTGAGTGTTGTTGTCGTAACTTCATCACCTTTTCTTTCACCTTTTCTTTCTAGCATCAGTGTTTTGGTGCGAATAATCAGGCTGTAGCAACTGAGGTTCCTGTAGAAGCAATTGGGGGGATATTATAGCTGTGTGTGATGCTCTGTGCTTAGTATTACTCAGTGCTGTTAGAAGCTTCAGTTGTAAACTATAAAGAAAGTGAATGTTAATCAAGGATCAAGAGACAGTTAAATACACAGGATAAACTTGGATGTAAAATTGAGGTGGCAAAACATGTGAACATATGTGTGCATTTTGACGGTTTGACATTTGGGAGATGGTACCAACATATAGCAATTTGTGCAGTCTCCCTCGCTTATCATTGAGAACTGATGGTGGAGACTAAATATACATATAGTTGGGAGATTTACTTTTGCTCTTTGATTTTATACTAAATTTAGTATGCCTCTTGCATGACATATGAGTAAAATCATCCCATTTGTGAAGACATGAAATAGTTATTTGGTTTGATACTAAACAAAAGCTTTGCATTTCTCTTTCTGATAGAAATGTATTAATACAAAAAAAATGCTTTTTCACGTATAGCATTATTTTTTTAAAATTTAGTCTATTAGACATGGCATTCAAGAGGTTTTGTCCATTAAGGGTTGGACAACTTTGTATTTACTTTCCCATTTCATGAAGTTCACAGAACAAAGAAATTTTCTTGTATTACAAAAGAGTGAACTTTCATGTACAGATGTAAATTTTCCATGCATTGGATTTACAGCAGTTAGAAATTAGAAAAGGATTTGGAGTTTGGAGCAGGAAGTTGACTTTTGTTTGGAGCTATAGAGTTTTATTTCAAGCTATAATAAGTGGAATGAAGATACATGCATATGAAGATAACAATATTTATAAGTGTGTTTGAATACAATGATGTTAATGCTTGCTCACATCGATCACATTTTCTTCAATAATTCCCTCGCATGCTTTGGGAAAATTGAATGGGGTGCATTTTTATATGCTCAAGGCCAGTAGAATAACTATTATAGATCTTTCTGTTGTTTCATCTGTTTTTCCCCTTCTTTTCCTCATTGTTAGGGTTTCGATATGGTGGATGGACTTCTTTCACGAGGATTTTTTACCTGTAGGGGAAGCATTGGACTTGTGGGTTATTGGTTATGAGTAAATTGTTGTTAAAATGTAATTGGATTTTTTTAATAGCAAAATTTTAAGGATGACTTACCAAATCTTACCCTAAAGTTGAACTGTTTAATATTTCATCACAGGTGTGATTTGATAATTTTTAACCCATAATGACGCGTCACTCAATGGGCTATTTGAAATTTGATCAAAAGAATGATAGGCTATTTGAAATAAATCAGAAGATATGGCCGGGATATTAGATAGTTCAAGTCTTAGCTATGATTTTATAAATTTCCCGAATTTCATGTGCAATCCATGAAAGCCACCTTATGAAGGAAACAAGCAAGAGCAATTTCTTCTAGTGTTTGGAAGGCAGATGCGCCATCTAGGCAGGTGCCTAATAATTGAGGAGCTCCAAAACAATGAAGAGGGGTTAGTTGTATACCGGAAGTGCCTTGGCCTCCTAGTGGGCACCTTTAGGGGTCCCTGCACTAGGCGCCTTGTCTCGCAAAGGCGACAGGCACCTAGGACCTCCGCCCTCCTCATATTTGGGTGCCGTAGTGTTTGGCAGTTGGAAGTGAAAGGCTATAAAAGGATATTCTGTAAGAAGAGGTTTTTGTTTTTCTGTGAAATAATCTGTTTCAATTGCCAATCTCAATGAAATAAGGATTGATAGAAGATGATCATTTACTTATTATCTTACTGATATGTTGAGACTTAAGAGTGACAGTGAAAGATATAATCAAATTAACATTTTCCAAATTCTCGAATAGGCATGAAACGTCTTTTGCAAGATATTTTTGGTACTTTCTACTCCTTTTTTTAATAAAAATTATATCCTAAAGTTCAAACAATAAAATCTAAGTTAGTTTTGGTGCTCATCTTGTTTAACTGATGTTTATTGTTCACAGGCTCTGTTCTACTCTGCCCTTCGATGTGCACGAGAAATGATCACAATCAATGATGGGACAAAAAACCTGATGCGAGCTGTAAATAACAGGCTTAGCGCATTGTCATTCCACATTAGAGAGTACTATTGGGTGGATATGAAGAAGATAAATGAGATATATCGCTACAAGACAGAAGAGTATTCACATGATGCTGTTAACAAGTTCAATATTTATCCTGAGCAAATTCCCTCTTGGCTTGTGGAGTGGATTCCTGATAAAGGGGGTTATCTGATTGGCAATTTGCAACCTGCTCACATGGACTTCAGGTTCTTTTCACTTGGCAACCTGTGGGCAATAGTCTCCTCCTTGACTACTCCAGAGCAGGCCGAATCTATTCTTAACCTTATTGAGAGCAAATGGGATGACCTTGTGGGGAAGATGCCCTTGAAGATATGCTTTCCAGCTCTTGAATATGAGGAATGGCGTATAATCACTGGCAGTGACCCGAAGAACACGTAAGTTCCCCTTGACTGACCTACTTTTATTGCTTGATTAAAAATGTCAGGTGGGTTATTATAAAACTGAATGTGGTTGGTTATTAAAAGAATGAAAAAATTGACAGATATAAGAGCTTGCCTTTAGGCCATCTCTAGGACATGGGATTGGTAAGCATGCCTTTGAACCATTCCTTCACTGGTATGCCCATATAGAGGTTTTTGGTTCTTGGGATACCATTTAAGCTAAACCTTTTCTGTGGCATCAGTATTATGACCTAAATAATTCTTTCTGAAGCTCCATGTCACAGATTCCTTCCCCAAAAAAATGCTCAACAATATGTAGAATTTATTGGAAAATTAGTTGTTACAAGGGCTGGATTTAGATATGTACTAGTTGGTCTATGGGAAAATATATCATACATCACATAGACAACCACTGTCCTCCTGATACAGACATCGGATATTTCTCCAGGATATTCACCTGGGTCCAACTAATATCTACCATGTCGCTGGAAATTCATGGTGGATGAGACTATTCCACACTGTGTACATTGGTTAAGACTATGCCATGTTGTTTACCTTGCACCTGTGGTGTTTGTTGTACTTTCTTTGTATTTATACTTCTGGGCTGTTCTTTAGCTTAGGTAACTTAGGAGGATGGAGTACAGTATAGTAAACGCCTATGACTTTAGGTTTTAAGTTGAGATTTCTGGTTTCTGAGGTATATCACAAAGCTTTTTTCTTTCAATCACTTCAGAGGCTCTGTACTCTGTAGCTTAATAAATACTTTGGGGTGTCCATGATTTTAGCCTTGTTCTAGACACTATAGACATTACTCTTGTTTCACATGCCAACATTTTAACTTCAAGTAGTTAACTTCTATTAAAACTTGTCAACAATCATGGAAAAAGTTTTTATAGAGCCGAGGCTCTAAACAATCAAATTAGAGCCCAAATATCCTCAAATTGATCATCTAGACATCAAGATGCATGGCATGAGAAAAAAATGGATTTCAGGTTTTGAAAATAGGGCATCTTATGTAACACATTTTTGGAACGTTAATTTTCAAGATTTTCAACTTTTCTTAGATCTGCTCAATCTATACTATTTTTGAAGCGTTAAATTTTATAATTAAATATGAAAATATATTTTAAGGATATAACAAAGATTTTGAGTATTGAAATCACATTTCTTGACACTATTTGAAGGT